GTACGGGAAAACCCAACTATGGACGTCACACATTTACGAAATAAGCGAAATAAGATATATTTACAAAATATTTTCGTCAACAGCCATCTTAAAATATATTTTGTGTTCACTAATTTACAAAATACCCCACCATGTACTGATCATGACCCGTTTTATGGTATTAGTACTACCTGTCTTTTACCATGTATAATCTTACTGTACTAAGAGATCCACTATGACGTCAACGACTCGTTGGACGCGCAGAGTAGGGAAACAGAAGTGTGGATCAATCTATTCCGTGATTTGATAATATTTGCAAGAAAGTTTGGATGTTTTTAGATATTTTTATACAGGATTGTGAACTCAAACAAACAGTCAAAAATGTTTACAAGTACTGTGGTTTCAATCATGTTTTGTACATATCTTATCAGAGATTATGACGTAATTAAACTGAGTCATGTGACCAAACATCCTTCGTCCCCTTCAGTTCTTTCAAATGACACCAAGGTCAATGGCCTTGTGACCTTGACGGTGACCTGTATACTAAAAATAGCTTTTTTATCTGCAAACTTTAACCTTCGCCATGACTTTTGAACCAAGAAAGACACAGATTTTATATTTAGTATGCATACTCCACTAATTAATTTCTTTCAAATGACACCAAAGTCAATGACCGTGTGACCTCGACTGTGACCTGTATGCTAAAAAAATGTTTTTTTCGCACCTTTGCCATAACTTTTGAACCACAAGAGATAGAGACTTCATATCTGGTATCCATACATAACTAATTACGCTCTTTCAAATGACACCAGAGTGATGGGACTTGTAACCTTGACTGTCAAGTACATGCTAAAAATAGCTTTTTAAAAAAATTGTTGCAGCCGGGTGCATAGTGTTTCACAAACACATCTTGATTTTTTATATACAATTGCACGAATACCGTATAGCGGGTTATTTTGACGGGGTGCTAATTTTGGCTTATTTTGGCGTTTTGATGGCAGCCCGCTAAAATTTTAATCGCTAAAATAGTTAGTTAACAGTTAACTTAGTCTTCCTAGTGTTCATTGCAAACAGATGAAACCCTGTGTCCGCTAAAATAAATTACGCCAAAATTATTGGCATACCTTTCAGCCAAATTTTACACTCGCCAAGAAAACCCGCTATACGGTATACTACACGTTTTGATAATGTAAGCGCAACATTTTTACATAAAAAATATGTAATTAAAATGTTATTTGTGTATATTGCTGATGCCTTTCCTAAAATGCAAGTTAATACTATTTGACACCTTTAAAACAATTTTTGTTGTTTAAATTTATAAAAAGAAAAAGAAAATGAAAAATTTAACTAGGGGAGATTCTATTGGCATATTGTAGAGGACCCTTGTGACAGAGTTAGGGTACATTGGACAAAATTACACTGGCAAGATACACGTTCTATTTAGTGGTTTTATATAAGCCCAGTGAATGCATCTTTTTGTTAATATCATTACAAATGATATTCACCTATATAACAGTGTAGCAAGAAACAATCAAAATTAATTTAAAGAGAAATGCGAGGTGTTTAACACTGATGGTGACAGGGGTTGGGTTCTCAGGGATAACTACAATGATTTTTAATTTGGGTTTTTCCTAGATTTAAGTTTTTGTTTATGCCAGTTACTTTGGGATGAATTTCACATTTTATCGGAAGAAGTCACCTCGATTCAGTACTCTGATTTCAAACCGTGTAAACGTGGTCCGAATATTAACGCACCTTGAATTTAATCCCCCTGGGGCCTGAGGGTGGGGCCATAACAACAAAAATTAGTACAATCTTTAAATATCTTCTTTACTCCTGGACATCAAGCAGTCAAACTGTTGGCATGATTGTAATTTTAATTAGCTTTGAGTCCTTTACCAAAATTGTGAAATTCTTGGTCCCAGGGTCAGGAGTGCTAGTGTTAGGACTGGGCTAAAAAGATTGTATAGTGAAAATGCATCATTACTTTGAAAATCTTCTTCTCTGCTCCTGCAAATTAAATAAGCTAACCAAGTTCATACAGTGAAACTCATTTAGTAGAAACATGGATATTGCGAATTTACGGAGATTGCGAAGTAATCTTTGATCCCCAATTATATAAAGTTATTTCTTATATGGATATAACGAATTATGGATATAGCGAAGTATTTTCATAGGTCCCAATAAGTTTGTTATAACCTAGTTTTGCTTTAGTTATGTTGAATAAGATTGCCTTTTCCAAAATTGTAAATTTCATGGCCCCAGGGTCAGGGGCTCCGGTGTTAGGGTGGGGCTCTATTGATTATATAGTGGAAATGCATAAATTCTTTAAAAATTTTCTCCTCTGCGCTTGGATATTTAACCAAAGAACTATGTACATAGTTATGATAAGAAAAGATGCTTCTTCTTAATTTGTAAATTTCATGGCCCCTGGGTCAGAGGTTCTGGTGTTAGGGCGGGGCTCTAAGGGTTATTTAGTGAAAATGCATTAATTCTTTGAAATTCTTCGGTATTAAACAAACAAACAAAGTACATAGTTATGATCACCAAGAATGCCTCTTCTAAAATTGTGAATTTCATAGCCCATGGATGAGGGGTTCTAGTATTAGGCAGGGCTCTTTAATTGTTTATATAGTGAAAATACATTATTCTTTAAAAAATCTTCTTCTCTTCTCCTGGGTATGAAATAAACTAACCAAGTACATGGTTATATTAAATAAGTCTGCCTCTTCCAAAATTATGAATTTCATGGTCCCAGGGTCAGGGGCTCTGATGTTAGTGCGGGGCTCTAAGGGTTATTTAGTGAAAATGCATTAATTCTTTGAAATTCTTCGGTATTAAACAAGCAAACAAAGTACATAGTTATGATGACCAAGAATGCCTCTTCTTAAATTGTGAACTTCATAGCCCATGGATGAGAGGTTCTAGTATTAGGGCAGGGCTCTTTGATTATTTATACATTGTATAGTGAAAATACATTATTCTCTTAAAAATCTTCTTCTCTTCTCCTGGGTATGAAATAAACTAACCAAGTACATGGTTATATTAAATAAGTCTGCCTCTTCCAAAATTATGAATTTCATGGTCCCAGGGTCAGGGGCTCTGGTGTTAGTGCGGAGCTCTGTTGATTATATAGTTAAAAATGCATAAATTCTTTTTAAAATTCTCCTATGCACCTGGGTATAAAACCAATGAACTATGCACATACATAGTTATGGTGAGGAAGAATGCTTCTTCCCAATTTGTGAATTCACAAGTACATAGTCTGAAAATAAAGTAATACTTTGAAATCTGCTCTTTGATATTAATCACCCATTTCTGATGAAATGAAATAAAAAAAATTCCAGTATTTGGAAATATGTGGCCCCAGGATCAGTGGTTCTTCTGGGTTGATGTGCAGAACAGGTGGTTATAAAGTGGAAATGCATTTTCTCTCTATTATTCTGATCTGCCTTTGGGTATTAAGAAACCAAAATAAGAATGCTGAGTGTATAGTTATAATAAACAATGGTGCCTCTCTCAAAATTTTGAATTTCAAGGCTTTTGGTTTAAAATAGTCAAACCAAATTCAGTTGTTGGAAAGTAGTTACATGATACTCAGGTGACCTATAAGGCCCGTGGGCCTCTTGTTTTTTAAAGTGCGTCAAAATATGGCTGAAATATTGCCGACTCGGCGTAAAACAGTAATGATCAAGCAAAAGTGTGTTGTAATAGAGTATGTACTAAAACCTGTTTAAGATAAATCACATTAATGTATTGATCATGTATTTTATGTTAAATCTCCAGGGCCACCCTTAATGCCAATGAACTTTACAGTGGTCTGTGAAAATTCCTTGTCCATAAACTTATCGTGGATTTCTAACTTTAATGGTGGAGATGATCAAAGTTTTCAAGTATCGTATTCAACTAATGAGCATTTGACAGAATCCCATAAAGTTCTTGAAACAAATATAAATGATGAAGGGTATGGCAAGTCTCACAGTTACACACCTACTATTGAACTGCAAGGGGATTTATGGTTTAGAATAAATGCCTCTAACAAATTTGGAAGTACTACATCAGATGTTATATATTGCAGTGCAGTTAAAAGTATGTATTTTTAGACATTGCAAAGGGAGGTTAGGTATCAATATATTTCAATTTTATTAGTAATCTAAACTATCAATTATTCATGTGTGCATTACAACGATTTTCAGAATTAGTGAGTAAAATTCACAAACATTACATATTTATATATGTATATATAATATATCACTCCTGTTGTATTTACAGAAGTCACTGTTTCTTCGGATAATCTTCCAATAATTGCTGGGGCAGCTACAGGCGGACTGATTTTTGCTGGTTTGGTTATTCTAGGGATTGTATTTTTTCTGCGAACAATGAAAGAATCAAAAGGTAAAGAAAATTTTCACATATTTTTTCTCAGTAGGACAGCATTCTTCTCGCTTGAACCAAAGCTAAATTGAGCTTTTCTGATCGAAAGGTGTCTCACATCCATCTTTTATATGTTTTATGCCATCTATCATACATTGTAAACCTCTTAAACCTTCAACTTCTTCAGATCTATTGAGCCAATTTAAACCAAACTTTTCACTAAACATCTTTCATATAAAGGGAGTTAAGTTTATTCAAATGCAGAACCATACACTCTTTCAAGGGGTGAAATTAATAATTATTCATATTATTATGTAATTGGTTTAAATGTCTTGATCACCAATATTTCCGTGTAAGTGACTAATTTATGACTTCATGAAATATTCTACCCAGGAACAACAAGACCATAATTTAAGGTAAATTAGTGACAAACAAGTTGATGAAATAAGAATATCATCAGTCTTGTTTAAAGTCATCATGTCAATACAATGACCTTGTCAGCAAATACAATTTTTCATTGAGTCAAATGCTGACTGTCGTTTTTCGTACTGATTGTTAATCTATATTTATACACTGAATTGATGACGGATTTTTCCGTTATTTTTAGCTCTTCATGGGCCATTTGTCATAGGGTATCCTTGGCTTAAGGGCTACCATTTATACTAAAACTAGGGGTGGGACCCAAAACAAGGTGAGATAATCAGAAAAATAAAACCAAAAGTACTGGTTGCTAAAAAATCTTCTTCTCCAGAACCACCAGGCAAATTTTCACCTAACTTACATACAAGAGTCAGGATATGTTGAAGATTAAAAATTGTTCAAGTCATGGCCCTTGGTCAAAGGGCGTGGTCTCAATGTCAATTCAAAGTTGACAAAGATTTACACATAATAAAAACATTGTTGTTTTGCTTACTAAAAAGACTAGGATCGTTAAATCTTGTAAGTTGATGTATCTTAGGACTTCACATCATGTTAACACAAAAGTAGATCACAGTGACCTTTTTTTTTAATTTCACGGGATTTCATTTTCAAATTGATTTGGAGGCATATTTTAGACACTTTAAGGCCTATGATCCTCAAACTTTGTCAGTTCATGCATCTTTGGTCCTAAAACAATGTTGACTTAAAAGTAGGTCACTGTGACCTACTTTTTGAATTTGATGGCTAATCTTTTCTAAAACATTTAATCCAATTATTTCAGACAATGAGAGGTGTATCCGAAGGCTCAAGTGAGCCTTTCTGATCACATTTTGTCCATTGTCCGTCCATCCGTATGTCTGTCCATCTGTAAACTTTCACATTTTCGGGCTCGGTGAATATTGTACTCCTCAGATGGCTAAATCATTGTATTGACCTAAAAAAAAACAGCAATAATTGTATGTTGTAACACAAGAAAACCAGTCTTAAAACGAACATCAAACAGTCATTAAACTATAGTATTTCAAAATATACATGTGCCGACAGTAGTATTTTAAATTGGCAGGGAATATGTTTCAAATTTCAACTTAATAATTTCAAGTATACTATATTCCCATTATATATTTACTTTTTTCTGCAGGAATGCAAAAATCAGATCTAGAAATGATAGGGAAAAATATAAAAACTTCTTGGAAATACTATGTGACTCTTTGCCTTTGGCATGCTCGGTGAAACGAGATTTCCACACTTCCGCTGTGTTGAGTTATTTTGATTGACAGGACAAGTACGTGGACTTCTTGTGAACAGTGTGAAGTTGAAGATGGAAAATAAAAGCAGATTATTATTGTCAAATGGATTTGTTAATCTTAAAAATTTGATTACTTTTATTGCTTGGAATATTTCGGGAAAATAATACTAATTTTTACCTTGATACAACAGATATCTGATAATGGAGGGGATCTCTCTCTCTCTCTCTCTCTCTCTCTCTCTCTCGTACATTTCAAACTATGACAACTTATTTAGTTTTGATAATTTGAATGCCCCTTTCCATCATCTTGTCCGAGTATAATCACTGCCGGGAAATGTCTAAAGATACATGTAGAAGTTAGCAAAAATAATCATCATAAAAGAATAATCAAAGTACTCAGAAGTACTGAAAGCCGGGCTCATTTACAGGGTAATGAGCAAAGACCGCAATGACAGTTTAAAAACAAGCTGATTCAGACATTGAAAAGATGATTATATATATCTATATTTGTCATATATAGCATTAAAAAGCTTTAAAATTAATTAAAATGTAGCTATAATTTAACAGCGTAAAATATGTGTCACATGTATCATTTCGGGGTTTTACATAAATGAACACTGATGCAGCAAGATTATTTAAGGTCAAACAATTATGCACAGATGGGTCTTCAGCGGGGAGTTTTGCATCAAAGCGTACATCAAGTCATTAATGGTGTTCCCCGCATTTGTATTAGTACACCCTTTATTTATAGAATATGACGCAGACAGGGATACCTGATGAAAACCTTTCGCATATTTTAACCAAATGATTAATCATCGAAAACGATATAAAGTATTTTATTATAATTATTTTTTGACAATTTTAGATAACTATGAAAGTTTAATTCAGTGTTTGTATTGCCTCAAAGGTGATTGCGCAGACGTACTATATTCTAACTCGTAAATTTAATTTGGCGGTGAAGAAGCAGCATTTTCTGTTGCTCACCGTCGCAATAGCTGGGCATTTCTCTACGAGAAATGAGCCCGGCTAAAAATGACACATAAATATAGAATATTTTGAATTAGAATTTTAAAATACAAGTGCTATGGCCATTTGTGTGGTGTGCAGTGTGCGTTAACTTTATAGAATATGGGCCATAACTCAAGAGCCCCTTGGCCAATCAGTGTCAAATTTGACACAGGGTATCCTTGGCCCAAGGGCTACCACTTTTACTAAAACTAGGGATGGGACCCTTAAACAAGGGGAGATAATCAGGAAAACAAATTAAAAGGACTGGTTGCTAAAAAATCTTCTCCAGAACCACCAGGCAGATTTTCACCAAACTTACGTACAAGGATCAGGATATGTCAAAGATTAAAAATTGTTCGAGGCATCACCCTGGGGTCAAGGGCGTGGTCTCAAGGTCACTTCAAAGTTGACCTAAATTTACAAATAATAAAAACGTTTATATTTTGCTTACTATTAGGATTAGGATCATCAAATCTTGTAAGTTGATGCATCTTAGGACTTCATATCATGTCAACTCAAAAGTAGGTCATGGTGACCTACTTTTTAAATTTTGTGGGCATTTGATTTGAAGGCATATTTTGGACACTTTAAGGCCTATGATCATCATACTTTGTCAGTTGATGCATCTTGGGTCCTTGAACAACGTCAACTTAAAAGTAGGTCACCGTGACCTACTTTTTGAACTTTATGACTAATCCTTTTTAAAATTTGATTTGTTTTAAAGGCATATGTTGATTACCTTCAGACCTAGGATCATCAAACTTGGTCAGCAGATGCATCTTGGGACTCTGAAAAATGTCGACCAAAATGTAGGTCACGTAACCTACTCTCAACATCTTATGGCTATATTTTAGTATCTTAGGTATTTATTGGCTTAGAATCATCAAACTTTGTGAGTTTATGCATCTTGGGTTTTCGGAGAGTAACAATCAAAAAGTAGGTCACAGTGACCTACTTTCGACATTTCATGGCTTTATTTAATTATCTTAGGTATTTATTGGCTTAGAATCATCAAACTTTGTGAGTTGATGCGTCTTAGGATTTTGGAGAGTGACGACCAAAAAGTAGGTCACTTTGACCTACTTTTGACATTTCATGGCTTTATTTAAATATCTACAGTACTTATTGGCTTAGAATCATTTAACTTCATCAGTTGAAGCATCTTGGGTTTTCGGAGGATGATGTCCAGAAAATTGGTCACGATGACCTAATTTTTGACATTTCATGGCTTTATTTAAGTATCTATAGTACTAACTGGTTTAGAATCTTCTAACTTTGTTTTTTGATGCATCTTGGGTTTTTAGAGAATGTCGACCAAAAGGTAGGTCATTGTGACCTACTTTTGAATATTTCAGGTACTTATTGGCTTATAATCATCAAACTTTTTATGTTGATGTATCTTGGGTTTTCAAAAATCGTCTACAAAAAATTAGGTCGCAGTGACCTGCTTTTGACATTGTATGGCTATATTTAAGTATCTTTAGTACTTATTAGCTTAGAATAATCAAACTTTGTCAGGAGATGCATTTTGGGTTTTCCAAGGATGTAGACAAAAAAGTAGGTCATGATGACCTACTTTTGACATTTTATGAGTATATTTAAGTATCAGGTACATATCGACTTAGAATCATCAAACGTTTTCAGTTGATGCATCTTGAGTTTTCGGGGATCTCAAACCAAAAATTACATCACCTTGACGTACTTTTGACATTTTATGGCTATATTTTTATATTTCAAGTACTGGTTGACCTAGAATTGTTAAACTTTGTCAGTTGGGGCATCTTTGGTTTTCGGAAAATGTCAACCAAAAAGTAGGTCATTGTGACCTACTTTTGAATATCTCAGATACTTATTGGCTTAGAATCATCAAACTTTGTCAGTTGATGTATCTTGGGTTTTCAAAGAATGTAGACAAAAAAGTTGGTCGCAGTGACCTACTTTTAAATATCTCAAATACTTATTGGCTTAGAATCTTCAATCTTTGTCTATTAATGCATCTTGAGACCTCAGAAAACTTCAATCTTAAAGTAGATCACTGTGATGTACTTATTGGGTTTTTTTTATAGCTTTATTATAAAAAATATCTTCAGTCCTAATTGGCTAAGAATCATCAAACTTTGTCGGTTGATGGAACTTGGGTCTTAGGATACTTAGGGTTAGAGGCTTCAAATAGAAATGATAGACTGTACAATTTATTAGAAGAGCGATTCAAGGCCCTTGGGCCTCTTATTATGCAATACATCAACAGACAATTGTGAATTTAAAAGAAAAAGTTATTTTACTCATAATCGCCTTGGCACGGAAATACATGTTTGGTTGTTTCAACTGGGTACAATGTAATTCATTCATTCTATAAGTAGTAGTTTTATTTCCTAAAGTCCACAATATTTTATTACTAAAAAGAATAAGCATATTTACTATATATGTAGATTAATTTATTTTTAAACTACACACGATCGGTAACAAATACACATGTTTTATGGAGATTAAAGTCATGTTATTAAATTATCGATTTAACATAGGTATGTGCAGGAAAAAAAAAATGCTTTTATTATTTATTTTATCTATTGTTGATTTATATTTAAGCACCTGAAATTAGAATTATAGAATAATAGAATAATATCAATGAAAGGAAAAGATCGGAGGCATTCCGAATAAGTCGTTCATGTTGCTTTCACCGTTCATTCACCGTTCACTTTCTGCTCACGTTCGCGCTCCGTTTGCATTCTGCGTTCACTCACCGTTCACACATTGTTCACCAAGTTGCGTTCAGTGTTCGCACATCGTTCACTCACCATTCATTCACCGTTCGCTCAGCGTTCCTTCACCGTTCAAGTGGGAAAGTAGAACGCTTCAGGGACTGTAGTGTAGATTCTAAATTATTCAAATCTTGACCCCATATGGTAGGGCGGGACAACAATTGGGAATCAAAGTTTTTAATAGAAATATATAGGAAAATCTTTTAAAATATTCTTCTCAAGAACCACTGGGCCAGAAAAGCTGAAACTTATGTGCACATGGAAGCATCCTGGGGAAGTGTAGATTTCAAAATGTCTAAATTATGATCAGTGGGGTAGGGTGGGGTCGCAGTATGTATTGAAAGGGGGAAATCTGGTAAAGAACAGAATGGTCAAAGCTTCTCAGGTGAGCGATGTGGCCCATGGTCCTCTTGTTTTTTTAGGTCACTTGAGTTAACTCAGGTGACCTATTGCTATCCGTTTTCGTCCGTCGTCTGTCGTCCGCCGTCCGTGCGTTAACATTTGAACATTTTCAGCTTCTTTTTTGCAACCACTGAACCAATTTCAACCAAATTTGGCACAAAGCATCTGTGGGTGAAGGGGAACAAAAATTGTGAATTTCATGGTCCCTGCCCCCATGGGGCCTGAGGGGTGGAGCACAAACTACTAAAATTAATGAAATCTTTAAAAATCTTCTTTACTTCTGGACATCAAGCAGTCAAACTGTTTGCATGATTGTAATCAGCATTGAGTCCTCTACCAAAATTGTGAAATTTATGGCCCTGGGATCAGGGGTTCTAGTTTTAGGGCGGGGCTAAATAAGTATATAGTGGAAATGCATTATTTCTTTGAAAAATCTTCTTCTCTGCTCCTGGTTATTATATAAATCAACTAAGTACATAGTTATGTTGAGCAAGAATACCTTAACCAAAATTGTGAATTTTATGTCCCCAGGGTCAGGGGTTCTGGTGTTAGGGTGGGGGTTTTTGATTATATAGTGAAAATACATGAATTCTTTGAAAATCTTCTTCTCTGCTCCTAGGAATTAAATAAACTAACTAAGTACATAGTTATGATGAACAAGAATGCCTCTTCCAAAATTGTAAATTTTATGGCCCCAGGGTCAGGGGTTCTGGTGTTAGGGCGGAGCTCTTTTGATTATATAGTGAAAATACATTAAATCTTTGAAAATTATCCTCTCTGCTCCTGGGTATTAAACAGATGAACTACCTATATAGTTATGATGAGCAGGGGCCACAATCTTCTAGAATTTTGAATTTCAAAGCCCCAGGGTCAGGTGTATCATAAAGGGGGAGTGTACCTATATACTGAAAATGAATGAATTGTTTGAAATCTGCTCCTTGGTTTTAATCAAATATTTTTGAAAAGCAAGAATGCCTTTTCAAAAATTGTGCAATGTGTGGATCTAGGCCTAAGGGTCAGGGGTTCATGTGTGGTAGAGGCACTACTGATTATTGCTGAATATTACTGATTAGTTGGAATGCATTTTTGTTCCCCTACCCTGCCTGTGTGTATTAAGTAAACAAACTAAGCAACTGCTAAGTGTATTTTTATGATAATCAATGGTGCCTCCTTCAAAATTGTGAATGCCATAGTATCTGGCTTAAAACATGAATCAAATTCAATCACTGGAAAGTTGTTGCATAATGCTCAGGTGACCCATAAGGCCCATGGGCCTCTTGTTTTTTTTTTACCTTGGTTGTATTTGTCATCATGACGCTTTATTACCAACTTTAAATTTGACGTCATGATAAACATTCAATTGAAATTTCAAAAGTTATCTTCCCAGGTACGTCTTTAAGTAATCAAAGTAAGCATGCCAAGTGTATACTAGTTATAATATACAAGGGTGCCTCTTTAAAAAAATGTGAATTTCATGGCCTTTGGTATAAATCCCAAACCAAATTCATTTGTTGGAAAGTTGTTACATGATATTCAGGTAGCCTATTAGGTTCGTGGGCCTCTTGTTGATTTTTATGCCCCGCCATCAATATTGCCAGGGCATATAATGTTTGTCATCTCCGTCTTCCGTCCTTCCATCTGTCCTTTCATCACACTTTGCATTTAGCTCTGTTCAAAGCTAAGTTTCAAAGAAACTATCCAAGATATTTTTATCAAACTTCATATGCTGACAGACATTAATGAGAGCTATGCAACTACATAAACATTTTCTGACCTTGACCTTTCCTTTGACCTCACTTTTCTTGAACGAGTGTTAGCTCAATTTTAAAGAAACCATTCAAGATAGTGTTATCAAACTTCATAGGCGGATACATACTGCTGAGAGCAATTCAACTGCATCAAAATTTTTGACATTGACCTTTCCTTTGACCTTGATCTTACTTTTCTTAAAGGAGTGTTTATCTCAGTTTTAAAGATACCATTCAAGATATTTTTATCAAACTGCTGTTACATATTGATGATAGCAATTCACTGCATCAACATTTTTGACAGTGATCTTTACTTTGACCTTGAGTTCACTTTTCCTAAATCAGTTTCAAACTTCATATGCTGATACATGCTGATGTAAGCAATTCAACTGCATCAACAATTTTGACCTTGACCTAAATTTGACCTCACTTTTATCAAATTATGTTTAAGTCAGTTTTAATTAAAGACAACATTCTAAATATTTTTACCAAACTTTATATGTTGATATATATTGATCAGAATTATGTATCTGTATCAGTATTTTTTACCTTGACCTTTGCTTTGACCTTGACCTCACTTTTCCTAAATCAGTGTCAAACTTCATAAGCTGGTACATACTGATGTAAGCAATTCAACTGCATCAACAATTTTGACCTTGACCTTTTATTTGACCTTGACCTCACTTTTATCAAATTGTGTTTAAGTCAGTTTTAATTAAAGACATCATTCTAGATAGTTCTATCAAACTTTATATGTTGATACATATTGATGAGAGATATACAACTGCATCAACATTTTTAGCTCACCTGAGCTGAAAGCTAAAGTGAGCTTTTCTGATCACCCGTTGTCCGTCGTCCGTCCGTCCGTCTAGCTGTCCGTCCGTCCGTCTGTCTGTAAACTTTTCACATTTTCGACTTCTTCTCAAGAACCACTGGGTTAATTTTAACCAAACTTGGTACAAAGCATCCTTGGGTAAAGGGGAATTCAAATTGTTAAAATCAAGGGCCACGACTCCTTCCAAGGGGAGATAATCAAGAAAATACAAAAATAGGGTGGGGTCATTAAGAAATCTTCTTCTCAAGAACCACTGGGCAAGAAAAGCTGAAACTTATATGAAAGCATCCTTGGGTAGTGTAGATATGAAATTGTTGAAATCATGGCCCCCTGGGGTAGGGCGGGGCCACAATAGGGAATCCAAGTTTGACATAGAAATATATAGAACAAATCTTTAAAAATCTTCTTCTGAAGAACCACTGGGCCAGGAGAGCTGAAACTTATGTGGGAGCATCCTTGGGTAGTGTAAATATTAAATTGGTAAAATTATGACCTCCGTGGGTAGTGTGGGGCCACAATAGGGAATCCAAGTTTTACATAGAAATATGTAGAACAACTATTTAAAAATCTTCTTCTCAAGAACCACTGGGCCAGGAGACCTGAAACTTATATGGAAGCATCCTTGGGTAGTGTACATATTATATTGTTAAAATCATGATCCCCAGGGGCAGGGTGGGGCCACAATAGGGAATCCAATTTTTACATAGAAATATATAGATGTATATAGAACAAATCTTTAAAAAAGATCTGCATCACCCAAGTTACTCAGGTGAGCGATGTGGCCCATGGGCCTCTTGTTTACCTTGACCTTTGCTTTGACCTTGACCTCACTTTCCTGAATTAGTGTCAAACTTCATAAGCTTATAGATGTTGAGGTAATCATTTCAAGTGTACCATCATTTTTTAACGTGACCTTTCATTTGACCTTGACTTCACTTTTATCCATTTGTGTTTAAGTCAGTTTTAAAGAAACCATTTATAATATTTTTCAACTTCATATGCTGATACTTACTGGTAAGAGCTTTTCAACTCAATCAACAGTTTTTGACCTTAGCATTTCCTTTGACCTTGACCTCACTTTAATGAAATTAGTGTCAAACTTAATATGCTGATACATACTAATGTAAGCAATTCAACTGCATTACTATTCAAGATATTCTGATAAAATTTCATATACACTAATAGAAATTTTCAAGTTGCTTTACTAATATACCCTTGGCGGGACATTCATGTCTAATGGACATATTTTTAGTTAAAATCCATGATTGTATTAATTTTTGCTAGGGTTATTTTAAAAATTGTTTTTTCATACTAGAGTAAAACAAAATAATACTAAGGAAAACAAAGTAAAAGAATTCAAAGAGTATTTATTAAAATATTTAACTTAATTATTTAAGGAAAAAAGAAAAATCTCCATCAAAGGTAAGATACAACTTCTTTTAAAGAAAAGCTTCATTTTAAGGTATGTAACAATTACAGGATCTTCATAACTTGGTTCTAGAACAAGATGTCAGAGTCAGACTGATGTCAAGTAGAAAAGAAACTCAATAAAGATAAAATATTGCTTTTTCTATACGGAACTGTAAAAAGTTTTGAATGTGAATGAAAATATTTATACCTCCTTAGTGTATCTTTATGAAGGTAAATTGTTCTATTAATAGAAATTATTAAAAAGATTTATCATTTCTTTTATCGTATATGCTGTGAAAATATTTTATAGGAACAATAATAAGAGCAATGTATTTTCTCTCTCCTTGACCCATTTAGCTATAATTTATAACCATTTGTTAAATTAAAACGTAGAATTGGAACCTTTTTAAAGCATATATTTTAAAATTATCTTGCATCGTAATTTTTGTTGGGGCCTTTGAGGTTACATTCTCAGCTTTGTCTAGTTTCTGAATTTGAAGTACACAATGTGCATGTTTTTGAATTACAGTTTGTTTTGAAAACCTTCCTTTTTTAAGATTAACGTACAGCAAGAAGTTTCTGCATGTTTATAATAAGCAGTTAGCTTAGGAAATATGACATATAGACCCCTACTTGGGATAATTGGTCACACATTGAAAATTCATTAAACTATTCTATGATAAACAAAATAGTCACTTGATTTCAGGATGTGACTTAATCAATTGTAATATTTTTTGAAATGCACATCTTTAAAAATGTTGTTTTTCATAATTTGACATGAGAATCATGCAATATGATACCAAATTATAAAATGCATGTTACCTTGTATTTAGTTTCTATTCCAGACTCATGGGGAAGCTTTGTTGATAAAATGCATTAATTAAGAAATGTCTTTATTTGTTGATATGTTATGGGCCTTTTTGTCACTAAAATAAAAAAAAATTAATAAATTATCTTAACAATCCTTTTTAAATTACTTACAGTGATACAATTCTGACGGAAGAAAGGGAATCTGATGAAGGTATTTATACTTACTAAATTTCCTTATTTTGAACTCATCTGTAATAAAACAAAGAAGCAAACTGTAACTAAAAGTTGAACAGAATCATGTTCTACTCTAAATCCATTCATTACTTTCAAATGAAAGTACAATAAACAACAAACACACCATTCGGACATAGCAACTACAGGCAGTAGCTTTATTTGTACAGTATACAGAACATATGCAAAATATGAAAATCAATATGTATATACAAGTTTATGTTGGATTGAATAAATCATGATAAAATTTAAACTTTATCGTGCTTTACGTGTCGTCCTAAACTGGTATTTAAACCACTATTCACCTCTTATATAGCCTTGCTAACGAGACCGGTTCTAATGAACCACGTGATATTCACCAGGTATTCGAATGAAAACCTTGTAATTCCGAAAAAGTAATTCATTATCACACCAAGTAGAAATTGATTTCTGTCTAATTCATTCCTCAAATGAAAGAAATCATATTTCTACTCTAAATCCATTCATTACTTTCAAATGAAAGTACAATATACAACAAACACACCATTTGGACATAGCAACGACACGTAGTAGCTCTAAATACAAAGAACGGGAAAATGAAAGTATAAAATCATTGATTTTAAATTCAATCCAACAAAATTCATTTAAATCATATCAACGTCAATCAACATTTTAAACACAATAAATCAGAAAATTTTAAAGAATTTTTTTTATATGTTTTGAAATAATTTAATAATCACAAAAGAAATACATATACATGTATATCCATCCTAAACAAATTCAATACACTGCCGTCTTTTGAAAATCCATAACACAATTCACCCTGAAATTAATATTCAGAAAAAGCTGAATTCAATTTTGGTGAATCATTTTTAAAATTAGAATTCATTGACAAAATTTCCTTTTTACTCGAAAATCAAAATTCGAAAAATCTTCAGTTTCTGTTATCAAAACTTTTTAGTATTGATACTAAGGCCAGCATTTTTTTGTTTTTAGGTTTACAAACCCGCCGCTCAAGATTTTGAATTTTCAGAAAAAAATAAAATTGAGAAAAACAGAATTTTTTCTTTCCGATGTCTAATTTGAGTCGGGATCGAGATTTCAAATTTACGAACTCGTACTTCCGGTTTTAAATGAACGTGGCGGGTAATGAAGGGAGATTTGTGTCAAGTCCATAGCAGCACTAAAGCTTGGTTTAATGTAAATATTTATCGATAGGAGTGCCATTCAAAACGTTTCACCCGTTCAGAGAAAATAAAATGCTGACGACTTTGTTGCAAAGTGACGTGTTGGTGAGATAATTATGTATTCAAAAGTAACTGTCTGTAATTGTAAATTATTTTCCTCCCACAGGTTTAAAACTGCCCATGGTAGCTATTGTCAGAGACATTGTTTAGGTTTCTGTCATAGCTTACAGTCTTAGCATCATTCTTCAGAAAAGGGTCGCTTATGCATCAGATGTAATGAATAAAACTATGGGAGAAGTTAAGTCCATCTGAGGACGAAATAAACAATAGCCTAAAGAAATAAAATGTTTCAACTATTTAAAAACAAGAATATAAAAATATATACAGGCATGTAGTATCGTTTATGGCAGCCAGAAAAATTAGTTTACACTTAATTGAAAAAAATTCCACCCTACTCCTCAATACTTCTTGGGAATACTCCCTGTCTGTTTTCTGAGAGGAATTATTACTTTTATAGGTCTTGAGTATATTAATATTTTAGAATAATTTCTAACACACATTAAAAAAATGAAGATATATTAAAAGAGATTTTAAAAATTGATTTTTTTTTTTAAAAATCTGTATTTTCTCCAACATAAAAAGATTTATATCACTGTCCCCAACTGGTAGATGATGAAATAAACAATTAAAGGTTGTATTTTCCCCTTTGTAACCCTTATGTGTCCAAGAAGCCTGTTAGGAGAGCATAAAAAAGAAGCAAAAATTAATGTAGAAAAGTCGATAATGTATCCAAAATATAATTTTATTTTTTTTTTATTTCCTCCTCCTACGGGACTTTTTCATTCTGATGTTTGTAAACCTAAAAATAAAAAAATGCTGGCCTAAATATTTAAATCTCTTTTTTGTAAACTCAATCAAGCCAATTAACAACACTGCAAATATTGCAGAATTATCAATACCCATATCAAAAAATAATACAGAAAAGTATATTTTTAATATACTTTTAATACATTCATTTCTGTACTTTCTTAAAATAATACAGAAAAAATATATTATTTTCCTATCACAAAAAAATGGGTATATTATTTTTGTATTAAAATCTGACTTTGATATTTTGCAGTGTATTATTTTTGTATTTTTTTGAACTTAGATTATTTTCTGTGTATTATTTTTGTATTTTTAAGGACTTAGTTTTTTCCAACTGTATTTTTTCTGTATCAATTTTGAACTTAGTAATTTTACAGTAAAATCTCTACAGCTAGAGTGTATCATATTTGTATTAAATTTGGACTTAGTAATTTAACAGAAAGTTTGACTGTATTATTTTTATATTAAATTTGGACTTTTTAATTTTACAGAATTTGTCTGTATTATTTTTATATTAAATTTGGACTTTGCAACTTTTCAGAAAAGTCCCTACATTTAGACTATATTATTTTTGTATTAAATTTGGACTTGGTAATTTTACAGGAAGATGGTCAGTATTTTTTTTTTATTTTTTATCAAATTTGATTTTATTACATTTACAGAAAATTCCATAGTTAGTCTGTATATTTTGTTTGTTTTCTTTTTTTTCTTTGGGGAGGGGGGGTTGAGGTTAAATTAATATTGTATTTATGAACTTTATAAATTTTAGAGAAATTCCTTGCAAATATTCTGCTGGTTTTGGATACCGGTACTAGTTTGTAGCATTTTAGAACATTTCTTTTTTTTATTTATTTATTTATTTAAAAAGTATCTTGGTATCCAAATCGAACTTAAAAATTAATTGGTACTAAAATTTTTGTTAATTCCATTCAGTTATATCAATGGTAATCTAAAGAAATGTCTCCATATTCAGCTGATTAAGTTGAAGATTTTACAGAGGGTTTACATTTTTACAGCGGGTTTACATCCAATCTCGTGCAGCAGGTGGCCTTGCAGGCTAAGAAATGATTGCATCATACTACAATGTAGAAATCACGTGATTTACCTGTGCACATGGAAAGTCCCAACTATCAGTATTTCTGTACATACGATGTTTCTTCAGATTTGAGATATTTTGCAGTAATGAATGACAATTATATTTTAAATTAGCCTTAATGAATTTTTTGAAACGGTCTTACAATGTACAAGAGTAGAAAGTGTTGTGAAATCAGTAGATTTACTACCGTAATTGGCTGAAGCCAATGTTGTGTACACGTGCGCTTGTCACTTGATGATTATCTCTCCACACCCCTTCAGACAATTAAATTGTGTACCGACTCCAAAACATTGTTTTTACAGTAATGGGGCTAATTATTTGCTGTTCTTTTAATTGCTTGAATTATTTTCTTTCTTAAAAATCGGGGATCAGTTTAGAATCTTTCGTATTGTGTTGATTATGACACATTGAACACTTGTTAAGTGTAATTTTACCTTATCTTATACTTATCGGCCTCTTGTTTAAATAATTGAGAGCCGGTTAACAAATGAAATACTAAGTATGTTAAAACAATATCACAATAACTTTGCTGAAATAAAATTAACTTAAGTAAATGGCGACGTACTATATCAAAATCTGTGTATTCTACAAAAAAAAAAAAATAAAAATAATTAACTCTTCTTCGCAACATTATCATGATTATCTTACGTAATTAATACAGTGCATTTAGGATTATTTACTGAAGACATACATGGCTGATGCCTAGTTCTATTTTGGATAATTTCTGAAAATGCTTGTAATAAATAACTGACGATTTCTATTTCACCGCGACTGTAAAGCTGCAAATATGTTTGTATATTCCCCGCGTTATATGATCCTAATTGTTGAACTTTATGGTCTATTTCACAGGTCAACTTGAATAATTATAAAAAGAAGAAAAAAACAAACAAACAAACAATATGGCCGACCGGAAATCTCTCTGTTTGTAATCGGAAAATTACGTAGGAACAAAAATGTTATGATTTGAAGAAATGATTCCTAATAATTATTCCTATTGTTTAAAGGATTCTGTACTATTTTTAGACTTCGTAAATACATCTTTTTAAACTGTTTAAAATATTTTCTATTTAAAAATCGGAAATCTTCGTAAATATCGAACAATTTGATTGGTCAGAATTTAAATTTTTTCTTAGCTTTTCTCTGATTGGCTAACGGAAATTACCCACGCCATTTTGAAAAATAGATTGACGAGCCATGCTAAGAGAGTTGTTGATGTTTTGAATAAATTAGTGAATATTCGCCGGTAAAATGGATTGAAAAATAGATGCTTAACTTCAGCATGTAAGGATGGATCAGAAAAAAGCGAAAACAGGAGGAGGTTGGCGTTTTTCAAGCACAATGTCCTGGCTTTCCTGGTGTAAACAACGCCACATGCGGTAAGACTAAGAGTTTACACAAAACATCACGGTGGTTTTACTTTTTTAAAAGTGCAATGTAGATTAATAAAGGTATAAGCTTTAATAACCAAATTATAGTAGGTCAAAATAAATGAGGATATATTGGTCTTATTGTGAAAGATAGTTTTGTTATATGCTAGTTTCAACTTCAAGATCGAATTGTATGAAGGACTTTCAATCAGTGGCAAGTGAAATTATTCAGATAGACTAAAACTACTTTAAAATTAATTTCACACATGCCATGAAAATGGACTAATAACAGATAAAATCATTTTAATTTTGAAAAGGGGGGGGGGAGAATTGCAATAAGCTTCATGGATCTATAGTTTAGTATACTTGTAATTATTTATTTCTATTATGAACATGCAGACAAGAATTTTCTGTCTCTTTATAATAAATAAAGGCATCTGTTTAAACTTGAGACTGCTTTACTTTAGTAGGGATGATCCAGGATTACAATTGGGGGGGGGGGGTAAGTAAGAAAGATTTCTTTCACTAAACAG